AAGAGGCACTAAGTTATCTAATTAATACAATAAAAGGCACTATAATATTAGACTTACCTAAAATAAGCCCGTATAAGCCATATAAGCTCTCAAAGGCTATACAATTAATCTCTCGTCGTATAGGGAACGAGGATCCAATACGAGAGCCATTTAATAGGGTCTCCTAGGATCTTATTTACCTCGATAAGAGCTTTGACGGCGATAGATACGTAAGCCACTTTAAATGCTATTACATAGGAATAAATTATATATATATATAGGCTAGAAAGGTTAATACTCTCCAAACATTTAAATACCACCTAATTTCACTAATCATACAATATAATAAGCGCGTTAAGATCATTAGGATTGATAAAGAAAGCTCTCTAGCCCTTAAATTCGAGTATTTTATAGCCGAAATAAATATTAAAGTTAAGAAAAGCGCCACTAATATATAGGCATAAAATAGCCATACGAAGCGAGGAGAAAAGTCTATAATTATAATGGCAAGGACTATAAGAACTCACGCAAACCTACCATTAAACCTATAGTCTAAACTAGTTAAAATAGTAGGGTTCTTACTCAATAGGATCCCTAATCGTCGCAATAACTAGAAAACCCCATTAGAAGTCGCAACTAGCATTATCCTAAGTCTCGCCTACCTATACGTCATTAGTTATAAGGCCTATACACTTATTTACGATATTCTAAGGCTTAAGAAGATAGAGCTATACGCGCAAATAGGCTACCTTATTAGATACAACTCTACGAATCAATAGAGGATCTAGGATCTAAGAAAAAACTAAGTAAAGGTCCTACGCGACGTCATATTTAATAATTCAAAGCTATATAACCCTTAATAACTCCTATTACTAGAGCTCTTCGAAGGAATCCCTAAGGAACTCGTAATATTTATTTATAAGAATATATATCTTATTTAAGAGGAATCAAAGTATAAATCGGAGTATATAATATCTCCTTCCACTTCTCCTCCTTCTCTTCTCTCTCTAATAAGCAAACCTAACTAGAAAGTAACTCGAGGGGCGGTGGCGGCGCTAATAGAAGAGAATGCTTTACCTACACCGGAGGCGACACTAGAACCCGATAGGAATAGAGAGTATACTAGTTAAGAGAGCGCTATTTATAAGATATTATAGGAGGATCCTATAGGAGAGGAAATAAGGCCTTATAAGAATTAAGAAGGCGCCTTACTAAATAACTACTCCAATAAAATCTAGGAAGATAAAATTATATAAACCTTATCTAAAATTATTACAACTAATAGAAATAATGAAAATTTACTACTTTCAACTATTAAGAACTTACCTAATATTATCGATAACGCTCTATAAATTATAAAGAGTATTATTTATAATAAGGAGACTTCTTAAACCTAAAATAAATTATTAGAAATTGTTAGTAGTAGAAGGAGAGATCTCAATAATTCCGAAGTTACATTCGAATTTATTATCTCGAAAGGAATAAAACGTATAAGACGCTCTTATAAATAAGCCTACTTCGCGACGATCTAACGGTTAATAGACTTAATTAATGGGTTTTCCGACTTATACTATAGCGCGTTTACTACCTATAAGAATATCGCTCCTTCTACTCGCCTCTATCGCGATAATCTCCCTCTAGAGCTATCCTATTAGTATAATATAAAGAGGTATAGATTTTACGATAAGTTTATTATCGCGATAGAAGTGGAATAGTCTACTCTTATTACTAAAGATATATTCTTAGATATATCTATTACTAATTACTATAAGGAGGCCCTCCCGTTAACCTAAGTCTTTAAATATAAGTTTAATAAGAGAGGATTTCTCATTAAATTTAAGACTAGAGTATATATAAGAGAAGACCTCTAGATAATAGAGAAGGAGATCTACGCGACTACACTAGTCGTCGTGTTATTTAGGCTCCTTATAATTATCGTCGCGATCTTTAATTTGGAGATAATCTAACTAGACGCGATTAATACCTTTCTTAATAGTAGGATTAACGATAAAGAGATCTATATTCGTTATCCTAATAGATATAAAAAGGTTAATAGAATTCTAAGGCTCCTTCGCGACCTCTATAGACTTAAACGATCACTATTACTCTAGTTTAACAAACTAATAATTACTCTTAAGGATCTCGAATTTAAGAAGATTAATAGTATATATTATATTATAGTAAATTACGTCGCCATTATTCTATTCTATATTAATAATATTATCGTCCTATTTCGAGAGAGAATAAGGCCTTAGATTATGGCGATAATCGCAAAACTATAGGAGAGATACCCTCTCCACTTACTCCTAAAGGCTAATTAGTTTCTAGGGGTAAGGATTATAAGGAATCGATCTAGCCGACAACTATAGCTATACTAGAACTCCTATATCGAAAAGATCGCTAATCGATACTATAAACTAGTTAGTAAAAGAGTTATTAGCACCCCTTTACCTATAGAAAAGATTAAAGCAAATAAATATAAATCTACTATCGTAAATATCTATCTATACTAATAAGAGGTTAGATCTATTAATTTTATAACTACTATAACGCGAATTAATATCGTATTTACTACTACAACGCTCTCTAGGTACTTAACTAACCCATTTAATACTTATTTAGCACTAGCGAATCGTATACTTAGATATCTTAAGATAATAAAATTATATACTTAAGAATATAATACAATATTATTACTCCTTCTTCGAGTCCTTTTCGACGCTTCTTTCGCCGACGATATAGGTCGCAAGAGCTCTTAGGGCTTTATTATTATGCTAGGAGATAATCCTTTCGTATAGAAGGCTAGTAAATAAGCTATAGTGACCATATCTACTATAGAGGCGAAGCTCCTTACCCTTACGAATACTAGTAAGGAAGCAATACTCTAGAAACGAGGAATTAACGATATCCTATAGTATTTGCCTATAGGAAAGGACTATCCTACAATAACTATCGATATTCATTCCTTCTATAATAATACTTAAACTATTAGGCTACTCACTAAACCAATTGCCGAGATATAGACTAAATTGCGTCACGTAGATATCCAATATCACTAGGCGCGCTAGTGCGTACAAAATGGGTTAATAAGAGTCTTCTAGATAAGCATAACGAATATAATTACCGATTTATTAACCAAACCCCTTATAAATGAAAAAACCGCCGAATTTAGGCGTAAATTGAGTCTAGTTTCCATTAATATTAGGGAGGATGTATAATCTCCTTATTTACAACAACCACCTCTTACTACAACGATATTTCCTTAAGTATTTAATATTTCTATAGTGATTTAAGTATAGAGTAGGGCACTCCTTATATCCATTTATTCATTTTACTACCAATTAGCGTAGGAGCCTTAATTAAGCTATATTAGTAGGGCCGCTCGCCATCGAATACTCCTACACAATATTCGACCGCCATTTTCATATTATTCCGCCCCCATCTTTTCCGCGCGCGCGCCGCCGCACACTCCCCCCAACAGCAATACTATTCTTTTATTTTGTCTGCTATAATAGCGACAAATGAGCTGGAGAAGGAGAAAGGATAAAAGAGGGTTAGGAGTGCCTATATATAGATATTCCTAGGGGGGTGTGTTGCTACTAAGCCCTTTCTACTCCACCGTAATAGTCCGCCGTATCGCAATTTACCACTAGTGTAGTTATCAGCTCGATAGGGACCAAAAACCTCAGCTAGACAGGGTCAATAACCAGTTATTTATAGCTCAACGAGGGTCTCAGGAGATGCGGAAAAGGCCATTCTAGATCGTCACCACGCGTAATTTATATAGAGAGAAGAACAGGCTCCATGAGTAGAGAAAACAGAGACAATTGGACAATTCCTGAAGTGCATTTCCTACCGCCAAGCCTCTAACACCTTGCCCTGGCATGCCTATAACGTCATAGCCTCCTCGCCCTACTTTCCTCGTGAGGTCGGTCGATATTTAGGCCGCAGGTCTTGACCTGTAACAAAGAGTATAACGAGGTAAATTCTCTAGTTTTAGGGCCGAGATATAGCGTTTCTCTATAAATACTAAGCTTAGTAATGCCGCGGACTTTCTGGGTATTACTATTTATATATCGATAATTATACACGGTGGTCTAGCTACATAACTCCGATAGAAGGGGTCATTCGACTCGTGATTATAGCGCCGACTCACAGATCGAATTAACGTTCACTTGAGACACTCACTCGGCGTCGTCGTAATTCAGCACTCCAAGTAAGCATTACAATTAGAGAACTGACTCGACTTATGCATTCGGCGCACTAATCGTCGCTACTTCATTATCAATTCTAACCACTCGTCGGCACTTCTACAAGATATTTTTATGCCTACATCTAGGAAGAAGTGGTGTTGCTGCAATATTGTCGGAGTCATTGGTCTCAGGGTACGCTGTTTTCTCTTTGAACTCGTTCATATTTCTATCCGGGAAATCATGCTAAGTCAAGCGCGCAATCATATGTTCGACTGGGTTTGAACTGTTTCTGACCCTTGCCCAAACAACCATGCCAACCCCTCGTTCCTCTCCTTGATCATTTTCTTCGCTTGCGACAATTGAGGAAAGAGAATTTCGAACTCATGAGGTACGCCAGGATATACTATGATCTTTGAACTTACGCCTTGCACTATAAGTTCTCGCTGGTATAAGAGAGCATCATCGCGTATTGGATCGAGGCCGGCGACCTGGATAAAATGTGGTGGCAGACCTTCGTGTCCCCTCGGCCAGAGCAATGGGCTGTGTAGTGGATTCTCAAATTCTGGTTTGTAATAGCCTGAAACAAGAATAAGTTACGGATTGAGCGATAAGACCAAGAGTAGGAGCTTTACGATCAAAGAAATTGACAGTTTTGACGTCTAGCACTGGAGCCATTCGGTTCTGCTCCCAGCTCCCATGATCCTTCCTATACTTCTCGGGAAGTGCAGAATGTGCAATCGTAATCGGGATATTCATCCTTGAAGTTTAAGCCAGTCAGCGTGGTTACCATTATACTAAGACCTAGTTTCAGAATTGAAGAACTGGCATTTAAGGTAATGTCTCGCTTTCTAGTCTGACGTACCACATGCCGGTCAAAGGTGGTGAGACTTTCTCGTCGCGAGCGAGATGGGCAACCGAGCAGGCAGCGGTAGCACCTGAAGAACTTCCTCCAAGTAGAAATCCTTGGGACAAGTCGGCGTTCAAACTTTGCGCATTTGCAGCAGCCTATAATATGCTTAGCCAAAATCTCTAGGTTGAAGATTCCATTGCCCCACCCATTTAAAGGTATCGAAACAATCATGAATCGCAACTGGAAAGATGAATTCGGGTGCCATGCGATAGTCGACGCTCAACGCAATGGCACCATGGTTTCTCACTGCAGTCACCGCGACATCCTCTTCCAGCTCTGGCATGCCGATACAAAATCCTCCGCCATGATATAGCACAATTAATGGACTTCCACCAGCCGGGAGATGTTCAGGCTGATACAAAAGGGACGATATGGTGGTCCCATCTCGGACAGGAATTTGGATCGATGATTTCTTGACTCCCGTCAAGTCCGGTGGAACACCGTGGCCAGAAGCCACAATATGAGCCAGCGTGTCCAGGAAGGCTTGTCTCAAGGTAGGTACGTCTGGTAAGTCTCCAAGGCTGGGTTGAGGCCCTGCGACTCCGAGGATCTATTTATTTACCGAGTTACATCATCTTGTACATCCAGCAAGGAGGGATTCAAAACATCGTACCGTCTCCAACTCGGGATCGATCTTGCCAAAGTTAGCCCATGTGGAAGAATCATCAACAGACATAGTCAATCAAAATTGTCGAGAACCTCTAAGAAGATACCGATGCAAGGACCAAAATTCAGATTTTGGAAGAGATTCTAAGGCCAGTAGCGACAGTACCGCAGTTTTGTAGACTGAGACCATTGCAGCTTCCCGAACCGCTGCAGTGGCAATTCTTGTGTCTGGCACTTGATCCCCTGATAGACCCGGAGTTAGGATATCTGTGATAAGACCTTTTTACTAATTATGGCAAGAAATCCAAAGTTGAAGACGCCCGACTCTATGCGCTGTCACCTCCTGAGATTGCTAACCACGAACAACTGGAGAGTAGGAGATTTAGCATGAAAAGTCCAGCAGGACCAACACGCGGAGTTAATGCATGGAGCAAGCGAGGCAAGCTAGCTCGGGACATTTGACTTTTTCTAGTACTCGATCGCCTGCTTGTCATTGGGTCGGAAGAAAGGAAACAATGGTGATTCCAAGGTGAATGCTTTTCTTCATATCCAGATGACTCTAAAAAGATAAAGTCTCTCTCCTAGACTCCGATCTTGAGGGGTGTGACAGTTTCTTTCCAGGTTTGACTCCTAGACTCCGGCTTGGCGCCACCATTCGGTGGGTCGTTGGTAGAACGATCAACCCAGGTTTCATACCCTTCTGATTTACACAGGTAACATCAGCTGCAGAGATTCCAATAGTATTATCGCATATTAAAGTATAGAAGGGTTTTAATCAATCTGGTTGCTGGCTGGTTGACAGTTTTCCCATGCTATTCATCAATCCTACTTTATTTCAATTCTCTCTAACCTGTGACACCAGACTCGAGTACTAGTCGCCTATCATGCCAACGAAACATCTACGTCGCTTCACAATATTCAAATTTCGGAAAGCTGAGGATTAAGAAACGCTTGTGAGTCGGTACGGAGAACTCAAAAACGTGGCTTTGAAGGTCATTTGGGGGGATCATCCAGACTATCTCTCACGATCAAGCTTACCGTCTTCCGCAGAACGAAGAACCCTACATCCTCGGTTGTCACTTTGGGAAAACCGCGTCGGATGATAGAGCACCGGGTTATACAATAGCCGCAAAAACCACATTCAAGAGCTGGGAGGATTTTGACTTTGCGGACAAGGAATGCCGCTCATGTAGCGTTGAAAGCACTTATCCGTGGAAAACATGAAGGCTATATGATGGTTTACTTTGAGATGGTGCGTAAGTAGGTGTCATGTTGGAGTGGCAATGTGAAACGAATTGGCTGCCCGAGGATACGGCGATTACTTTCCGTCCAACAGACTGACATTTGCTCTAAACGGGCGTGAGAATGACAAGCAAGAAAATCTCGCCTTCTCCAAAATAAGTCCTTGAATTTCTCCCTTATCTTGGTCACACTGGTATTCGTGTAGTCGAATATATATGCTTCATGCCGACTGCAAATACACTGTATTGCCCAACTATGCCTGGGTCTATGCGATCAATGTCGACTAATTATAGTCCAATATCACACAGAGATGGGAGTTCCAAAGTTGAGCCATTCTCGCAAGTTAGCCAGAAGAGCGCGGCTATCCTTGCTGCCTAGCCACTCTCGTTGGTTGCTGTCTTTCCTTCATCACCACCACATAGAGGGAGATCTCCCTGAAAGCGATCTCAGTCTATAGGAAAATACCGGTAGTTCCAGTTCCTTGCTTATACCAGGAAACCCAATGTTTGATCTGACCACGGTGCCGCAGCAACCGGATCATCGATCATTTCTCCCGGATTGAATAGGTTGAAACTCATCCCCAAATTGTCCGTTTCAGGGAATGGTGCAGGACCGAAACCTGAGTCCAAATCTCCTTCAGTTGCAAATGACCACCAAATCCATGTCGAAGCTTCATCATTCTGTCTCACAGGAAGCGAAGCATGATCAAGAAACTCCCTGACACATTGTTGCGCGCGACTAGCCACGGGGAAGTTGTCGGACAGCATTTCAAAGGTCTGGAGTGCTCGCTTTAGTCCTTTTCGACAAGTCAGGCTTTCAGTTTCACTAGGCCAGGCAACTAAATATCCGATAAGAGACAGAGCTGCATTCCATTGCAAACGGAAAGCTTCATACCACCCACGAAGGATTTGAGTTTCAGCCAACATCTGAGTTGCAATATCGATAATTGCTCTGGCGTGATGGATGCATGTCTTGGCATTGTCAAGGATGAGAGGTCCATCGGCTGCGGATATTCCCAAAAAGCATATGAATGGTCTGTACAAGTTCATGGCAAGGTTGTGGTAACGAAGTTCCAGCAATATGCTCTCTCGTTGAAACCAATCAGGAGACATGATATCGAGCTGAATTGAGGCCTCTCCAATACTGAAAGTTGGTGCTAGTCCACTCCGTTTGTTTCTGAGCGTTTCTGGAACATCTTGAATCCAACAGTGTAAGTATGCCACCTTCTGGATCAAGAATGCTGCTACCGTTTCCAATGATTCCGTGTTATCATATATATTCTCTCCGGCCCCTTTTGAAAGAACATCGGCGCACTCGTTGTAGAATGTGACATAGACCGCACGAGTTGCCAGAGTAAGTTTGATATGTAGCAGGTTGAAAGCATAGCAAATGGCCGATTTGTGCAGAAAAAAACTAGATCCGGAAGGTATTTGTTGCGAATCTCCATTTGGCAATGGGCATTGCACTCGAGAGATACTCACAGCAAGAGGCCTGCCAAGTTCCATTGCTACATTCATCTCCAAGGAATAAAGAGTCCAGAAAATTCTCCGTCGAATCACTGATTCCTCGTCAGTCATACCCTGAGGGCTGTCAAGATGATACCCCAGTATGACTGCTGTTCGGATTGTAGTAGCGAGAACGGTATTCGCCGTGTTGAGAAGACCAGCGTTAAACAGGTAGATGACTGCGAAAATCTGGGTTTGAAGAGTAGCTGCAGATGGCGCCTCCAATTCATCTTGCAGGATAATCTGACTTCGCCTGTAGTAAGCGAAACTCTGGCTGTTGGAGAATGGCGCAGGTTCGTCCCATTGGAATTCCCACACGGGTTTGGAAATTGCCGCAACGTGTTGTAAACCAAGCGCAATGACGATATCCACCAATCCAGAAGATTGACGATACCTCGAATCCTGACCCCAAAGCACTCGAAATTGCGTCCTAAATTTGCCCTCGTCAACTATGGGTAGGAAAGGATGGAATGTTTCCCAGAAAAGGTTAATCATGGCTTCCTCTTGAACTTTAGTTAATTTAATGACCGCTTTGTTTGCAATGGTTGCACGAATTGACGTAAACTTGGTCGAGTTCAAATTATTTGCAGCAGTGCAGGCCATTGATTCAATGTCAATCTGCACTAACGGAAAAACAGCACAGTCAGAATGGCTCAGAAGGTACCGATTGAGTCTTTGAATGAAGGACTGTGGCGAGGCAGGCCCATAGCACACACCTCTCCTCAAGAGGTTGTCATCGCTATAGATAGTTTGCCAATACTTCGAGTGTCCGCCATACTGTCTTAGAGGATCGAGGTACTCCGGTAAATATGTGAAGTTCGGCTTAGAAGGCCGTTCCGGTCGTGTTGGTTCGCCGTCATTATCTTTCAGAAGAAATCCGTCAAGTTGATCTCGCAGCTGTTGGACTTGCAACTGCAGGCGTCCAATCTCTCTAGGTGCTGAGATGAGTACAAGGAATTGTACTTGTGACTACCACTTACCTTGTCGCAACAGCGAAGGTTCGAATATCGAGCCTTCCGGTGCTGCCACATTCTCGCCCGGCCGCATCACAATTTCGACACGGCAATCGAGCATCGCACTTAATTCGATATGCGCGACACCAGTCGCAAGCCCGTGCAACCTGCTGCCGCTTTGGTTTATTCATACCGCTGGGAATATTCCTGCTGTTTAGCACTGGGTTAAGAACAGGAAAGACGGTAAATGCTGAACGCAACTCCGGGTTGAAGTCAAAGTGCGGTTCCGACGACGTGGGCGGAGGTTCGGAGTTTAAATTACTAAACTCCAGTCAAAAAGGCTCAAAGGGTTGCACGGTTAACTAAATAACGCGCCGTGACAACAACGCTAATTTGCAAAGATCCACCACATGCGCGAGAGAAGCTTAGACGCAGGCAATTAAGTTAACTATGATTCGGCAACGAGTCAAGTAAGACAATTTCGTGGATTGTTAACCAAAAGGATCAAGTATATGCAATTGAAACCTAGATAGATCAAGTTCCTAGTAAATATATATGGCCCATAGCACAGCTAACAATAAAGAGAAAATCAGAGATTTTTTAGAGTACTCTACTCCACCGTATTCACGATTACACTAACTCGGTAGAGCACGTAATTTTTTAGTATTACAATAAGGAAAAGGTAAGGTTAAGGTAGGTTAGTTTTAACTTTTTCTATAACTATTATGAATAACACGTCCTACTCTTATATCTATTATAATACCTAATAATTCACCTAATTCTAGGTGAATATTCCGTCTTTTTAAGGTATTGCGCTTTAGGGAATCGAGGCTTATTCCTAACAATAACTAGAAATTTCTATATACTCTACCTTAGAGTAATAGAGTAATAGAGATTTATAATATTTAAATATAGTCTAGATCTTATAATTAATTATGACTATACTAAAGTATATTCGAATTTGTATTCGTAGCCTTAACGCTCTATAGTTAACACTAAACTATTTTTATTAGAAACTAGATTATAGAGGCTCTAATAGAAAATAGAACTAAGCTTATTTAGACCTAGTAAATCGAGTAGAGATAGTAGTAGAGTATTACAAGTTAAATCTACAACCTAGATATCGACCTAGCTATAGGGGAAGGTTGGGCGAGGAGGCTATAACGTTACGAGTGTACTAGGATAAGACTCTAGTAGTTATGTAATAGGCTTAGTTCGGAGAAGGCTAAGAGAACTAAGCTAGTAGATTAGTAGATTAGTATAGATTAGTATTAAGCTACTAGTCTACTCTAAGCTACGAGAGATTTTATAAGTATATAGCTATAGTTATTATACTAGTATTTTATAGACTCCTTATAGTTAATAATTATCTTACTACTACACCTAAACTTATTAAACCTTAAGTCCTTATATCTTCTATATCTATCTATAAGTACCTATACTTCCATCTACGAAACTTAACTATATTTAAGTCTAAGAACTATTACGCTCTTAGTAGTTCGTAATATATTAACTACTCTTAAGATAAATATATACGTATAATAGATCTCGATCTTAATAAAGAATTATTATTAAATTTAGACTCTAATAAAGAACTTACGTCTCCTTCGAGAGTTCTATTCTTAATTAACTAGTTAAGTATTTCTTCGTTAATCTCTTTAATCGAACTATTTAAGAAGTTAGCTTTAAGCGATACTATATTTATTCGAGAAGAATTTAGTACTTCGCGAGATAGATCGCGAGTTAAACTATTAAGTATTAATAATACTAATAATAGCGAGAATATCGCTAAACTTAATTTATTCTATAGCGATAGATATAAGTTTAAAGCCTATATTATCTAGTTATAACTTAATTTTCTATTTAATTAACGAAAGTTTACTAAGAATATAGCTAAAGTTATCTATATAGGATTCTTTCTATATAAATCCGCTTTAGACTAGTTTAAGTTAATTCTAGATAATCGCTTAAATAATAGTAACTTCGCTCGAACCTCTACTATAGCGATCTTTATATAAATAGGGTTTATAGTAGAAATAAAAGAAATATATAGTAATATAGATAAACAAAGAATCGTTAAGTATAAATTAAAAGCTTTACACTAAACGTTGTTTATACTCGCGTATATAGCTATATTTTAATAGTATACTCCTTATATTAGCTAGAATAATAAAGCCCTATTAACTTAGTTTCGTCTCGACTTAAAATTCGATATTAAGAATTTATTAATTAATTAATCTACTCTACTAATATTATTAAGTAAGTATATTAACTTATATATTAAGCTTAATTAACGAGTAATCGAGCGATACTAAGAAAAGAGGAGTATAGCTTCTTACTCTAGCGCGAATACTACGAGAAAGCGATATAGAGTATCTCGTAGAAATCCTAATAAGATAGACTAGGAATTTAGTGTAACTAAAGAGAGTCCTAGAAAGCGAACCGCTCACTCTAATTATGAGTCGTTAATACTTACTTAACGAAAAGATAGAATAAATAAGAATCTTTATTTATATTATAGTAAATTAGAATATAAAGTAAGAGATTATCGAGCTAAGGGCTAGCTAGAATAATAGATAGCTACTATCTAGATCTTTATAGCTACCTCTACTCTAATAAAGTTAGGACGCCTCGTTTAATTTAGTAAGCTAAAGGACTATTATAAGCTACTTAAGTAATCTAAGTATATACTCTAGGATATATACTCTATTAATATATTAAGAAGGATATAATAGTTTCGTATTATAGCTCGCGAAGATAAAGTCGTCTTTATTACTATATTTTATTAGAACGAGATCTAGTTATCACGAGTTAAACTCGTAAAAGGTCCTAGTTGGAAGCCGGCGACTTACCTATAGAAGCTAGATAATATCTAGTCTCGTAGTATAGAGCGACGTTACGTAGAACCTCTATCGATTATTACTACGACTATCGTACGACTCGCTAAAGGAGAGTATTTACTCTTACTACGATAGCTAGGAGTGTTCTTCCTTTCCTTCTCTCTTTAGCTTAACGTTCTCGTTACTAGATATATAGTAGTTAAATAAGCTCCTATTTAAACCCTTACATTATATTAAGCTCCCTTTTTATATAATATAGGCGAATAAGTACCTATTGTACAAAATAGATAATATATAAATAAATCTCGTAGAAGCTCTCTCGTAGTAAGTAGTATAGCTCTTTTAGATAATATAAATATAGAACGAGTAGATAGTTATATAGAACTAGCGAATAATAGACCTAGAGCAACGTCTCTAGTAGCGAGATAGTAGTTAGGGTATCGCTACTCTATTAAGGGTAACAATACTACTAGTTATCGTAACGAACGTCGATACGAGAGCTATAGCTATACGACGAAGGGATAGACTTCTAGAGCTATTCGAGTTTAATAGAATACGAGCGATATTTCGTTCGTAGTTAATATAGATACGAGTAAAGCTTACTATTAATCGTATAGATAAAAGTAAAGTCGTATAATTCTAGTATCTTTATAGTTAACTAAGAAGAGATATACTATCCTAACTATTATTATAGGTTAACTTAGTATAGTTAATACTATAGATAACTATTAAGAGCCTTATTAGCTAACTAAAGGTTATATACAACGATAACGAGTTTATAGAGAGGGCGTCGAGAAAGCTCTCAATACTATAATAAGAAATAAAGGCTTTTAGTACCTTTCTCGCGAAATTCGACTATATACTTCTAGACGTAGGAGGTCTCGACTAGATAGATTAAGTTAAGAAGATATTCTTAGTAAACTATATCTCGTATAAGCTATAAAATATAATTATAGTAGCGCTAACTCTAGCGTTATATTAAGAATATTATATACTACTCTATAGTATTAGCGCGAATCTTAAAGCCCTCTATAGGAGGAAGATACGAGCCCTAATACCTATATATAAGATAAGATTAACCTCTCTAGCGAAGGATACAATAGACTAGGAATCGTAAGTTCTAACCTAAGTTACGATCTAAGTAGCGATCGTACAATCTTATTAACGAGTAGTTTAGGCGTCTTAAGAGACGCTTAACTAATATCGAGAAAAAGAATAATACTTACGTTATAATTAATAGGGTTACTTCGTATAGGAGTATAATCTTAGAGTAGTATAGTAGCTATAAGAGTAGAAAGTAGTTACGATAACTACTACTAGAGCTACGATAATAGCGATAGTAGGAGAGAAGTAGTTAAAAGAGTAGCTTTTAGCGAAAATCGTCGCTAGAAGCGTATAAAGAAGACGAAGAAGGAATAGAGTAGTTTTAAGAAGTTAATAGATAGTTTACCTTTCTTAGTATCTATATAAGTAAACTAGAAGGTTTTTATATTAATACTAGTAGATATAAGTTATTTATCGTACGAAATAATTAATACTCGTTTCGCTTCTTATTATAATCTTTAGTGTATTTCGATCACTTCTCGCCTAATTATTAGTTTTAGTATAGATATTAAGTTCGAAATAACTATTATAAACGTCGATCTAGATAACCCCTAAACTAAATAAATAAGCTAAGACTCGAGAACCTAGTTCGAGTAGAAGGCTTACTACACGCTCACTATATAAGAGGAGCTTCCCTCCTCTCTATACTTTAAGTCTTAGTTAAGATACACGTTAAGAAATAATCTATAACCCATTAAACTACTCTAATTGTCGTACTCTACCTATCTATATAGGTTCGTTCCTAATAATAACGAATATTATAAAGTTAGAAATTAATCTTAATAGTTATAAGGAGAACGTCTTTCTTTATATAATCTCTTACTCGTTATATAATATAATTCTTAATCTCCTCTAGATAAAAAAGAATAGTATTCGAATTAGTTTATAGTAGAAATATCTCTATATTAGCTCTTCTAGCCTTTAAATCCCGAATATCTAGCGCGAGTAGCGTATAAAGATAGATTATATATTAGTCTTCGCGACGATATTTTCCTTACTTATACGTTACTAGAAGAAAGAGAAGAGAGTAGAAGTATTCGCTACGAGCCTAGTAGATATTAATAAGATATTAGTAGTAAAAATTCCTATTGATTCTCGTACGAGACTCTTAAAGTACTTTCACTAGTATCTCGATATATTTAATTAGTTTAAGGTAGAAGAACTCTCTCTCGTACGAGAAAAGAGAGTTAATTACGATATTAAACTTATTATAGAAAATAGAAAGACGCCTAAAGTACTCTAGAGACCTCTATATAATATATTACGTAATAAGTTACTTATACTTTAAAAGACTCTTACGAATTTACTAGATAAGAGCTTTATTCGAGTTAGCTTCTCGTTAATAGTAGTCTCGATACTTTTCGTATAAAAGCTAGAAGAGGGTTTACAATTCTATATTAATTATCGCGATTTAAATAAGATTACGAAGAAGAATCGCTACTCTTTATTACTAATCTATAAGATACTACGAAATATTAAATAGGCGAAGTAGTATACGAAACTCGATATAATAGTCGTCTTTTATAAGATACGAATTATAAAGAGCGACGAGTAGATAATAGTATTTTGTATACAATATAATCTCTTTAAATAAATAGTTACTCTCTTTAGTCTCGCGAATATATTAAGTATATTTTAGAAGTATATTAATTAGATCTTTCGTAACTATCTTAATATCTTTTACTTAATATACGTAAATAATATTCTAATATACTCCTCTAAATCTTAGAAGAAGTATAGAGATTACGTATAATAGGTCCTTTAACGATTACGAGAAGTAGGGCTTTAAATCAATATTACGAAATACGAGTTTAAAGTAAAGTTAATAAAATATCTTAAGTTTATTATCGAAGCGAAAAAGGGCGTACGAATAGATCTAGCGAAAGTATTAGCTATTCTTAAATAGGAGACTTCTCGCTTAGTAAAGAGTATATAAAGTTTTATTAGTTTTATAAACTTCTATTAAAAATTTATTAAGAAATTCTTAACGATTATACTATCTATTATAAAGCTCGTATAGAAGGACTTTAAATTTAGCTAGACTAAAGAGGCGAATAACGCCTTTATATAATTAAAGAAGATATTTATTATAATACTAGTATTAGTATATTTCGATACGAAGAGAGAAATAATTATTAAAGCTAATATATCTAAGTAGTATATTAGTAGTACACTCTACTAGATAAATAACTATAGAGTCGTACGACTTTACGTCTTCTTCTCGAAGAAGAATTCACTAGTCGAATATAATTATAAGATCTATAATAAGAAAATACTAGTAATTATATAATACTTAGAGAAATAGAATATAAAACTATAAAGTATAAGAGAATTCGAGATTCGATCTAATTATAAGAATCTCGAATACTTTATAATTATATAAAAGCTAACTAAGCGATAAATACGATAGTCGCTAATCCTCTTATAATATAACTTTAAGATCTTATACGTTAAGGGAAAGGATAATAAATAAGCTAATACTCTATCTCGATACGAATAAGATATTCTCGCGAATAAGAAGAACGATTAACTATAGTTTCGTATAACTTAACTCTTAAAACTAAAAATAATAAAGAGTATTTAGAACGAACTATTTATAGCGCTAATAGCGATAATAGAAGAGCCTTTAACAAATTATATAATAATAGTTATAAATAAACTATAAATAGTAATAGAATCTACGAATAAGATCTACTAGAAAGCTATTATCGCTATACGAGAAGGCGTAAGAATCTTCTCTACTATACTAGATCTTAAGATCTTAATATCAAAATACTCTATTAATAGGAATAGTTAACTACTCTTTTAGAGTAGGCGATAGGTTCTAGACTTCGAACCCCTTCGTATAACGATTATTTAATAGATATATAACTTAATAGTAAATAGATATTCTAGATAAGAAGGAATTATAGTAATAGTATCTTAAGACTTCTTCTAGCTAAATATACTATATAATATTCAAAGGTTCGTACGAAACTATAATATTTATAGATAAATAAAAGCTTAAAGGGAGAGAAAGACTAGCTTCCTAAAGCTACTACTTATATCGAATCGACTTTAGCGCGAGATTTTAATAGACTTTATAACTAGACTATCAAAGAGCGAAGAATATACGAATCTTCTAGTAATTACTAATTAACTAGAAAAAGGCGTAATTCTTAAGAAAATATATATAATTAAGATAGAAGATATAATATAAGTATTACTTCGTACTTTCTATTAATAGTATAGATTACTAATAATAATTATATTAGATCGCGACTTATAATTTATAGGAGCTCTTTAGTAATATTTTTGCGAGCTACTAGATATTATATAGCGACTCTTAATGATATTCTACTCTTAGACGAATAGCTTAACAAAACGAATAAATTAGATAGTAGAAACCTATATTCGTATATATATTAATAAGATATAGGATAACTAGATAAGCTTACTACTAATAGCTAAACTCGCGATTAATAATCGCGATATATAATCTATAGGAGTTAGCTCTTTCTTTCTAAGCTACAAATATTACGTTAAAGTAATTTAATTCAAGAAAATCGTACGATATATTAATATCTCTTAAAGCCCTATTAATAAGAGAGAAGAAATTATATAGTAACTCTAAAAGATACGAGAATAGGTATAAACGTTAATAGTAGTCGCTTAATAAGAATAAGAGGAAATTGCGAATCGTACGAGACGCTAGGCCTCTATATACTAACTAGATAATAAAGTATAGTTAAACTTATAGAATATACATATAACTCGACGATTAAAGAAACTAAACTAGAAGAATATAAAGTATACAATATTAGAAGTCGTAAGAATATATAGCTATTAGCTTAATACTCTCCTAGATATTTATAATATTTTCTATATAAACCTACTTCGTATAGTCGCGACGAACTTATTAGAATCTTAAGTAATTAATAATAAATAGCTAGAACTAATCTAGATTAATAGTAAAAATAAATATAGTATTGAGAAGATCTAGAACTATTATATAGTTCGTTAAGAGCGTAGGTATTAAGACTAACTACTTATAAAATAGAATAAGTATACTTAATCAATATAGGAGCCTCGTTCTCTACTAGAAAATATAATCGCTCTAGATATATACGAGACTCTATAAGAAGAAGAAGGGGGGTGATATTATAAGTTAAACTTATAAGAGATCCTAGTTAGAAGCCGGCGACTTACCTATAGAAGCTAGATAATATCTAGTCTCGTAGTATAGAGCGACATTACGTGAAACCTCTATCGATTATCACTACGACTATCATACGACTCGCTAAAGGAGAGTATTTACTCTTACTACGATAGCTAGGAGTGTTCTCCCTTTCCTTCTCTCTTTAGCTTAACGTCCTCGTTACTAGGTATATAGTAGTTAAATAAGCTCCTATTTAAACCCTTATAGATTATCGTTAAATTGATTATTAACTTCCTCTTTATTTAAAATTTTATTATTTATAGTCGCGAGAGCGCGCTAGGCCTCTAGGAGAGCTCTATACGCTAATATTCTTTTTTAATATAATTAGTTAATTTCCTTTCGCTTACTTTAAGACTTTATTTAGAGAACTTTCTTTTATTTATCTACTTTTCGAAACTCGTCTAGAGAAAAGGTCCCGTTATAGTCTATATTCTTATAAAGATAGTAAGAATACTTCTTTAATTACTCTTTCGAGAAGAAGTAGAGATTACTAAATATAGTATAGTTAGAATAAGTAATTATAGTAACGAAATCTTTAAGTTAAATAATAAGAGTATAGTTATAACAATATTATATAGAGTTAGGACGAGTAAAGAACGCTTAAGGAGATATAATTAGCTATAAGGAACTTACGCGTAGAAGGGGATAGACTTACTTTATATACGTTAAGAATAATATATAGAGAAGAAGAGGAAAGTATTATAAGTTAATACTTAATCTATATAACGACCCGTTAGGATTAATAAATAGAACGAGAAGACTATAACGTAACTAGAGTTTCCGGTATATAAGGCTAAAGATATATAATATACTCTAGATACTCTAGAGATCTAGATACTCTAAAATAGAGTATTAGAGTAAATAGAGTAAGAAAGTATATAGGATTATAAGTATATAGCTACGATTATTATACTAATATTTTATAGACTTCTCGTAGTTAATCTTAACTATCTTATTACACTTAAATCTATTAAACCCTAAGCCCTTATATCTTCTATATCTATTCGTAAGTACCTATACTTCCGTCTACGAAACCTAACTACGCCGAAGTCTAAGAACTATTACGCCCTTAGTAGTTCGTAATATATAGTAGATAGATAAGATATAAGTAATAATAGTAATAAATCGACTTCTTCCTCTTACATCTTAATATCTACTAGTCGAAATTAAGTAATTCTTTTATTATTAGAGTCTACTAAAAATCTAGTATCTAAATATACTAAAGGACTTAGTGGATATAGATATTTTAAGCGAGAGATAAGTAATAGAAGACTTTAGAGTAAATATAGAATTACTCTTTTAGTTTTAGCTAGAATTACGTAATTCTTACTATAATATATTCTATAAATAGTAGAGATACTATAGATACTACTTTTATTACTAGATATAGATATTCTATACGAGATATAAGTAATAATAGATTCTATTATTTAAATATACGCTTACTCGATTAGTACTAGTATATATTACGTAATATTCTTCTAATATACGCTAAAGGTAGGCTAAATTCTAAATATATACTCCTTTTAGTGGATATAGATACTTTTACTAGTGGATTTAGATAGTTTTCGAAAATCGCCTAATCGGGACAGCGCCATACCTATTCGCATATCTGTATCCAGCTGGATACAGATTCCGTAGGGTGTTAAGGAACCACCTTAGTTAGACACTGCTCGTAGTTCAAATCATAATATCTATCTCTTTATACTTAGTGTAACTACGATTAGGCCCTAAGGAAAGACGTCGGTAGTACCGGTTAGCTCCAGATAATGACAGGCTTAATAGTGGTGCCATCGAGTATATCCTGGACAGCCTTATTAATCTCCGACGGTTTGTATTGCTTCTGCAATCTGTCAATAGGGAGTCGATTCTGCCGATAAAGATCGGCTAGCAGGGGCAGAAACTAAAATCTCGATTGTGGTTAGGCACTGACTCGAACACAACCCTTAGGCTGGCCTGGAAGAGAAGCTTACATTTCTCGATAGGCTATTGCCTTGATTTGACGCTTGATACCGTTTGCAACCATTGATGAATGGAAAGACCGGGATGGATATTCTGGCCGCCGCTGGAGGAGCTCCTACCGATACCGCGATACCGCCAGCACCTAGCGCATCGGCCATGGCATTGATGACAGGTACACTCCCTGTACAATCGATTGCAGCATCGATCCCTTGTCCAGCTGTCACACGACGGATCTCAATTCCAGTATCATTGAGATTGGATGCGTTCACGATATGGGTTGCACCAATTTCTTTTGCAAGCAAGAGTCTCTCCTGCTGCCTGTCGACTGCGATGATTGTGGTGAGTAGCTCGGGGTGATCTTCATGCAGGACAGAAGCTGCCATAATTGCAGCACTTCCCACCCCTCCAATGCCGAAGACGACTAGTGACCGTACCTTGTTCTCTACTGGCTTCACCACATTGAAGACAGCACCTGCACCAGTCTGGACGCCGCACCCGAGTGGAGCCAGAATTTCCAAAGGATAATTTTTGTCGACTCGTACACAGCATGCCTCTTGGACAATAGTAGGATTGCAGAAGGAGGACTGCCCGAAAAAAGATGCATGGATCGGTGTACCATTCCAGGTTGTTGTTCGAGATTGGTCTGTGTTTTCCGAGATAAAATTCCGGTCAAAGAACTGAGTGCATTGGTATGGTTGTCCTTCGCGGCAGCTGCGGCAATTCTTGCAAAAGGAATATGAGAGAAGGACATGGTCTCCCGGTTCAACGTCTCGAACTTTAGATCCTACAGTACATACGATACCTGCGCCTACAAGTATCATCAGCTCAATAGCAACGTCTTCGACGGGATGTAACTGCGAATGAATACCTTCGTGCCCAAGCAAGATGGGGAAAGCGCCTGGGAGACTTCCACGCTGCACAGCAACATCAGTGTGGCAGACCCCGGTTGCTTTGAGCTCCACGAGAACCTCAGTTGCACCCAAGGACTCAAGTTCAACGGCATCAACAATGAACGGACTGGACGTTTTCTCAACAATCAAAGCAGTGGCTGACAGCATGACGGCTGCTGGCTATATCGGCTCGGCACGTTGTTCATTTTCATATGAAGAGTTATTCGGTGCTGGAGCACCATTAATCTCTCTTTATGAAGGACCCACGATTCGAACTCCAGCACATATTGCCCGGGGGAGTCGAAGGCCAATATGGTTGGCTTGCGGAGGTTCCGAATTATAAGCTCTCCACAGACTACGGCATTGTGCAATAATCGCGCCCACCGTTGCACCTCCATTCTTCTTCAGTCAGTACCTTCAAATAGCTTCCGAAACCCTTACAACTTTCATTTGTAACCGGGGAGCAACAGCATTGAGTATTTAGCAAGCCGTAGTGCGTATAAGGCTACCACTCTGATCCACCCTGATAGCTATACTAGCTACGTGGCTTCCGGAAACTCCGCAGCATTCTCTTGCCGGCCTAGACTTCATATTCAGTGATACGATGTGTACGTGGGCAACAATATCTGCCACGCACTGCCGTCATTTATCAACGCATAGATCGTGGACATGAAGATCATTATAGTTGGGGCTGAGTCGGTGGGCTCGGCACTGCCATAGCCTGGAGAACAGCCGCTATCTCACGTGAAGTTCTGGTACTCGAGTCAGCACCACAATTGGCAGAGGTAAGTAACGTGAACGGATGAGGTGACTGTGAGGTGAAGTACTAACCTGACAAATCTTCACCAAAATAGGCACTGGCTTGTAGCTCACTCCGAATGGGAAGAGCGTGCTGCACCGCTAGGTCCTGAAAGACAGACTCGAAAAAGTTGCAGCCAGTCCTGAAGTTTTTACCATTCTTCCCACAAGGGCGACAAAGTGCTCGGCAGGAGGAATAACTTCGGCAAGGAGTTGATTTTCAAGTATGGATCTCCGTTTTGGGAAATGCACTGTGCTGACCTCCAGCTGGCTATGTTTGAACGTGCTCGAGAGCTGGGAGTCAAATTCAGATTTGGCATCACAGCCGACAGATATGATTTCCAGGCCGCAAACGTATCCCTGGTCGACGGCGGAGAAGTTTTGGGAGACTTGATCATTGCTGCCGGTGGTGAGCTGGTCCTAAGTTGGATGACCACTGATCATATTGCTGACACACGATACTTTAGATCTATGGTCAAAAGCTCGCGCCCAACTTTTCGGGAACAATGATCCACCATTGCCTACAGGGGACCTCGTTTACCGCATCGTATTGCATACCGACACGATCGAGGACGCAGATCTGGGAGCGATCGTCTCTCGACCTCGGGTGCACCTTTGGGTCGGGCCTGACTGTCATGCCATTTACTATTCTCTGCGGAACAACACGATGATCAACATTGTACTACTTGTTCCCGAAAATCTTCCTGAGAACGTCGCTAAAGCTCCTGGCGATACCGGTCAAATGAAAGAGTATTTTAGTGACTGGGGCCCATTGTAAGCACCTAGCCAAAGCATTCCTCGAAGTACCACTCAGAAATTGATGGATTTCCTGCGCAGGCTACAACGTCTCTTGTCCCTTGCTCCCGACGTTCAAAAGTGACGTTTGTGGAACAGTAAACTTCGCGCCTTTGTGGGTGGTTTTGATAATTAGACTGATCAGGAGTTGCAGATTCGGAAATGGAGTCGTGGTGCAACGAGCAGGAAATGATCGCTTTCCTAGGCGACGCTTGGTGGGTTTGGGGCTTTAACAAGTACTCAAGGCAGAGTCTAACCCAGCCAAGTCACCCAATGTTACCTTATATGGCACAAGGACCCAGCTCGGCTTTGGAGGACGCAGCAGTTCTCGGCACTCCCCTTGCCAAAGCACATGGCAGATCAGATCTCCAGACCCTCCTACCTGTGTATCAGCGGCTGCGCAAGCCACGCTCCTGGTCAATGGTCCAGGGAAGCCTAAGACAAGTAATATCGTGCTATGCTTAATTGATCAGGCGGACGCTGACTCAATTTCAAAGCGAGATACAAATCGCCTTCGAGACGGCTTGAAACAGCAACGCCGCGACAGGATCTTGGAAGAACAATTCAACACCCAACGGCCAAATTATCCTTATTATTGGTAAGGCAAACTGACCTTTTTTACATGGCCACGCTCTGCTAACGCTCTCAGCCTGGACCCAGAGACTCATGTTTCAGTTTAGTCATACTATGCCTTCGAGGAGGTAAGTTTCAAATCTACCATCATAGGTGCCAAACTAACTTTGTATGCACAAGGCCGAGACGGCTTGGAACTCCTCTCGTCGCAACAACAAGCCTGTGGTTTAGATGGATGTTCAAGATTCTAGGTCAATCTGATCGGCGACGACGGCTATGGAACTCGCAGCGAGACCATAAGGCTTCTTCTCAGGTTCGACGCTCACGACGCGGTCAAAATGTCCATCCAACTTTCAAAGGAGCGTGGCTGCGTTGCCGTGTCGGCAAAATAGGTCCATAGATCGTCAGTGAAAGGGAAATTGACGTCCTCACTCTCTGGCATAGGATCCAAACGTGTTCCTTCCACGTGTGTGTTGAAGGCGTCTGGTGACATACTATGTGGCGAAGCTCTATCGTTCATCCGTGCAAGTTCTTGCTGAGCTGCACTAGCGAGATCCGTGGAGAGAGTCAAGCACTCGGGCTCAGATATTTGAATAGGGACCGACTTTTCCATCGTTGGTGGTGGCTGTGTTGCTTTTTGATTCGAATTGAGAGTGACCCAAGAATCCTCTAGACTGGTCTCCCCAGCATGCCGGTGTCTTCTCCAGCGCGCGATGAGTCCGGCAACAATCCCTGCGCACCTTTTAGCTGCCTTGAGATCAATTTGTCCAAAGATGCTGACGCTCAACTCGCACACTTGGACTATTTCTTCGGTTTCTTTAGCCATGGGCTCATCGATAACTTTCGTCAGAAGTACCAAGGTTGCTTGCAGACAATAATAACAGTAATATCTCCAACGCTTCAGCCAAGGCGCCGTCTCAAACAAGCCATGTATGTGGAGAATTATGGTTTGTGCCGCTTGTACGCAAGTGGACCGAGATTCCATGACCAACCGTCCAGCCGCTTGGGAATCAGATTCCATAAAAGACAACCGATGCAGGACGATGAGAGCGAGATTATAGTCTACTGTATTGTCAGATGTCTTGCAGGACGGCTGCTGCGCAATCTTGGACTCACGGACTAGGAGACTGCTCCGTTGGCGAGAGATCCAACTGCTGGCAGTGTACGAGTGTCGGGCAGGATCTTCACCATGAAAGGCGAGCCAGGCTGGAAGCGACTGCTTCCACCGCTTAAGCCGATCATCATATGACGGAATCTGGAAGACGGATGACCGCTTTTCACCATTGGCACTGCCAAATCTCGCAACCTGCAACACAAGAGAAAGGGTCAATGACTGCACGTCCAGTCAATTATAGCATCTTGCCTGCTCACAAATTTCAAGATATCACGGGTGATTTGGGCAACTCCCGCAAGGACTGGTACGAACTCAGCTAAAGGCTGGTATGGCTGATTTGAATCTGACTAAGACCACGTTAGTCTTCTCACCACATGGGGAAGAGAGGTGCATAACCTACAGTCGTGCCGGCAACAGCATGCTCCCTCGGCAGGTCCACTATAACATCACGCTTACTGATGGACATTGGCCGGCCAGAATCCAGGGATAACTCTACCTCCTGGATATAGATCATCCACCACGTGCGCCGCCCTTCTTCAGCGTCCCAATCATGCGAGGTGAGGTTTGAGTCCACATTGAGGCCGATAGAGAATGCCATTCTGGTTGCGGTTCCCGCCAGAGTATAAGCCACTATAGAGTCAATCATAAATCCAATCGCGAAGACGTGCGCAGTACGAACAACTTGGTTTGAGAGTATGCTGTGCATAGGCACCCTGGCTCACGGTCAGTTCGGGTCCGATGTTGGCCCCAGGAGTGTCTTACCATGAACATCGCCGCTTGCACCAATTCCAAACTGACCGCATCAAACAACCGTCCAAGCAACTCTTGCGCCTCGGCAAAATACCAACAAGCCCATGATGAGCTGTCCTCATCGTCGGCATATAATGCACCCAGAGCAAGAACTGCGTAGACGAGGCATAACGATTGTTGCTGAACCTGATTCTCCCGTGGCGAAGTGAACAACAGGTTCGAGCCGAACAGCTCAGCGAGGCGAGAGTACGTGGCTCGAAATCTGGAAGTCTCAAAGATGGGGAAGTAAATATGGATCGTGTTGAAAAAGTTGGTCAAATGTCCATCCGCCACATGCCTCTGGAGCGTCCGATACCGTCGGACGGCGGTGTTGTGAGGCATGATGAAGTCGTACGCATCGAGCATGGTTTGCAAGCCAAGTCCATTATCTCCACTGCCCTGGCCCTCCACTTGCACTTGTCCTTCTTCTCGACTGCGAGACGATTGATCGGAGTTGTGCAAACGACGTTGCAGTCTCCTCGCCAGGGAGTTGGCTATTACAAAGTTGGAAGTCTCGCCTGCGGGCAACATCAGAAAATCACTCATTGGGACAGGGATTTATAGCCAATATGTACCATAGTACTCGAAACAGCCCGTTTGTGGGTTCAACTCTGTGACTGAAGTAACCTTGACCCCGTCTTGGATGGGTGCGGGAAGTCCTGTAGAATAGCATCTTGAGTGGCGTCGGATGATTGGTATCGTGGCTGTGTATCTCACCTTCAGCTTTTCCCAACCCCTCTGCGGGCCGCTGTACGATCTCTTCCACTCGACATAACCGCGTGAGTATTTGGTTCATAACACTGTCTGATGCTTAGTATTGAACATAAACATGCAACGGAACGCGGACTCACACTGTCAGTTCATTATGGTCATCCTGCGTCCCGGATGTTAGGCTGCACTCGTAGCCCTTGCTGGAGCAACTTTCGCATGGCCACTTTCCGTTGCACTGCAAGCTGTTACTTGAAACCCATAGCGGGTATGACCTCGCTTTTGGAATGGAAAACAGACCTTGATTCGTTTCTCTCGACATTTTTGACAAGCCTCCAGGGTTTTTTTGCGGATCGACTTTGCCAGCCTCTCGTCTAAGCGAGGACGCCGACAAGGGAGTGCAGCCAGTTGCATTTTCGGCCGTTTTGAGGCTGGCTCAATGCTATCGCTGTCGTTAGGACCAGTCATGCTTTTCGCGCGGGAGTTTTTGGGATTCTGAGGGAGAGATTTAGTTTCAAATGAGATATTGAAGTTGGGTTCGTAATTTAGAAGGATGTCTCCAAAGAGAAGCGAACCAACCTTGAGCTCCAAGGCCAAAGGCGGGGGCGTGCCCCAGGTACATTGACTATGTGGTCATCAAACAGACCGCGTGACCAATCAAAACAATCGTAGGCACGTGGACGCCTTACCTAATACTTGCCAAGCCTAAGCCAATGTACCTATTAGTAAGCTATGAGCTAGGCTGGGGGCCAAGAAATGCCTCTGCGTTGCACCGAAGGATTCTGCTTGTAAAAGCCGCCATTCACTCAACTGTTAATTCTAGAGCTGCTCAGCGATCAGATTTCATGATGCTTGGTAGCCACAGCTGAGCATGTGGAAGAGTTAGCACTCTTCAGTACTCTGCTCCGTGGCCCTGTCGCGGCCGAATCTTGAACCATCTCCAAGCGATGGAGCGGATAGTGAGCTCCACTGGCACATGCCGGTTCCTCCGCGGTCCAATCGAAAATGGCCCTTTGTCAAGGCATATACAATGGCATGTTGAGCCGCCTCCCTGGTCCTTAGAGATGAATGTTGGTCTCCCTTCCATTTACCAGTATTGAACCTTTTGATTTCTGTCAGGGACAGGAGATGTTTCTGCTCATCCTCGCTGCTGGTGGCCTCCTGGGTGTTCTGCTATTGAATGCAGTCATAGGTCGAAAACACCGGAGATTGCCTCCAGGTTGCAAGGGCATTCCGGGCCCACCAAGTCTACCTCTTCTCGGGAATCTCCATCAAATTCCCAAGGACTATCCATGGCGCAAGTTCAAAGAATGGTCGGATATTTATGGGCCTATTATGCAAGTGAGGCTGGGCAGCCAGAGTGTGATTGTCCTGTCCAACGATGAGACGGTCAGAGAGCTTTTGGAGCGACGTGGTCAAAAGTGAGTGACAAGATGACTGATGATGAGACACGTTGTCGCTGATTACGGTAGCTATTCGTCGCGACCTCAAACTTACATGGCATGCGACGTTCTATCTGGCAATCTTCGGCCCCTGTTGATGCCTTATGGAGGTGAGTCCTCGACCTGTCACGACCGCGGTCACTTTGACTAACCATTAGCTTCTCAAAGACCGTTGGAGGAGAGTCCGTAAATTTATTCATCAAATGACAATGCCTACCAAAGCGTTGAGCTACCAACCTCGTCAAGATCGCGAATCGCGTAAACTGTTATTCGATCTATTACACGAACCCCAAGATTTTGCACGTCACTACTATCGCTACGCCAGTGGTCTTATCATGGGTCTGACATACGATAAGCCGGTCGTGACAGGCAAGGAAGAATATGTAAGGATGATTGTGGAAGTTAATGATACCCTCGAACAGTAAGTCCACTGCCCAATGTTTGACACGAGCGATGATTGATAGAGCTTAGCACTGCAAAACCAGGGGCATTTCTAGTCGATTCTCTCCCACCGTTGAGATATATACCTTCCTTTATGGCACCTTTCAAGCGCCTGGGAAAGGCTGCCCACGAATTCGAGCGCGGGCTTTTTATGAACCTATTGCGAGAAGTAGAGAAGAAACTGAAATTTGGACTGCCCATTGCTGATTGTTTCGCCAAACAATTTCTGATTAAAGGAGACAAGAAAGATTTGACCGACGACGAAGGTTCATATGTATGCGGCACCATGTTCGAAGCCGGCAGCGGCACAACCTCGGGCGCATTGGAAATTCTGACCATGGCTCTCCTCCTCTTTCCCGAAGTTCAAGTCGAGGCTCAAAATGAATTGGATGCTGTTTGTGGCGATCGAATACCTCATTTCGGGGACGAAGAAAGTCTTCCGTATATCAAGGCCATAACGAAAGAAGCCCTTAGATGGCGTCCGATTGTGACGCAAGGCATATTGCATATGACTGTCAATGATGACCGCTATGGTGATTACTTTATTCCAGCAAACACTGCCGTACTTGGAAACCACTGGTGAGTATTTCTGACTGCGCTGTGGAACTACTCCACAAATGGGGACTGAAATGATATGCAGGGCAATTCACATGGATCCTGAAATGTACCCCGAGCCTGATAGATTCAATCCGAGACGCTTCATCGATTCGCCATTTCCGACCGCCCGCGCAGTACAAGGAGTGGAGTATGGCGCAAGTCGAGGACACTGGGCTTTTGGTTTCGGGCGCCGAGCTTGTCCAGGTCAGCATATCGGGGAATTTAGCCTGTTTATCCTGACAGCTCGGCTACTATGGGCTTTCAAATTCAATAAATATGTGGATGTTGAGGGACGTGTACACGAGCCTGATCCCATGGCATTCACGACCGGTAAGGACCCCTGCTTGAGGTTTCCTCCTGTTTTCGTTTTGAGTCTAGAAGATCTGGTCAACTAACTCATATGGATGCCATCAGGTTTCAATTCCAAACCACGAGATTTCCCTGCAATGATCATGCCGAGGAGTGACGCTCGGGCCGAGGCAGTCAAGAAAGCGTACCTGGAACAATGGGAGAGGCCAGAATAGCATAGTTGTATTAGTCAGTCGTTGACATCGACAACACATTCACCACTGCAAATCGCGTTTGCTGGAGGGGAGCTGAGAGTTTGGTCTGGCTGTACTGAGATGGTGTAAAGTCCAGTTCTTGACAACGGATCATGCATGATAAGATCGCCACGCATGACATCTTGCCCCCCTAGCCGGTCCGTGGATGATCCTTTTCAATATCGGAGAGTCACATCGCCGAGGTGTGCCTGGTTCTCAGGCAAGTGCTAATTCCAAGACTGCTGACCCTGTGGGCGACCCAAAAGATATTTAAGCCAAATGGATACGCAAATAACAATATACTCGCTTTTGACTCGGGGGAAGGGCAACATCGTTTATAAGTAGTTACCGAGGGAATTTCAACGCAGGTCATATTACCACTTGCCCCACCCACAGAAGTTCCACTTTCTTCGCGACCTTTGCGCCTTGTGCATTCACGGTCGTTTCGATTCCAATTAATCCTATCTTCCCACCAGACGGTACCCTGCACGATACTATTACAATTCATCTTTTGCGCCACTGTCTGCCCTGCCGTTGCACGATCCCTATGAGAATCCATGCAATCCCACAAATTGCAGCCTGCGTCCCAAAACTGGCATCAGATCCTACTGCGGCAGCCCATCGCACCTCTGTAGAGAATGTCAACTTCCACCATGTATGACCTGTGGCAAGCCGCTCAAACAAGATGGAACAACTTACGGAAGTAGTTAACAATAAAGCCCGCGACAGTTCGAAAGAAGTTGATAAGAGCCGCAGCTTCCGCAGCTTCTTCCTTGAAAACGTCCAAGGCATACGCGGTGATGGCAACTGTAGTCATCAGCTGCAGGAGTTCACGTTAGCCCTGCTCTTCGGTTTTATCGACCGCGCCGATATAAAGGGGAGATCCTGACACTTCCGAAAACATAGATACCCCAAGCAAATGCAATCGCTACCCAGGATAGGTGGCGTTGCAGACTAAAGCCCAGACAAACAAGGCCTCCAGCCATCAAAGGTTGGCCAACGTACGAAGCCCATAGACGGATCTCTGGCTCGAATAGTCCATCATGTTTTCGAATGTATTTGTTCGCAATCCAGTCGTCTGAACCTGGCGTTAGTGTGTTACAATAACGGGGAAAGCTAATTGCTTGGCCGTACTGAAAAAGTGTCCGAAGAATTCGCCCAGTGCAGTTGCAGCAATAGGAGCAATATAGAGCAATGCAACGTTCAATTGGGTGTAGCTATAGCCTCCAGCTTCGATGGGTGTGAACAAGATCAAATTCTAAGGAATGGCTGTAAGAGATCTACAAAATGATGAGGTCAGATATCTCAATGCTTACCAAGCTTGTGTTGATGCCAACCGACCAAGCGAAACTCAAGCCGTAGGATACTACTACTGATCAGCTCCTGCAGTAGTAGACATGCGAGACTGTATAACGCCGAGGGCAACTCACTCAAAAGGAGCAGAAAATATGGCTTTGAAGCCACAGCGACAATCCTCCGGGCGCTTGTGCAGAGCGAAGGGCGTCCTCTTACTTTGGCGCCATAGATGCCAGTGAGAATTTCAAGTCGCCTGCCTACAACCGACTTTGACTTGGATGGGGGGTCCTGCACTTCTGGTTTATGACGATCATAAAGCGTCTCTTGGCAAAACAGCAGGACCAACAGCGCAGCTAAACCGGTAAATGCAGTGCAAGCACCGAAAGAGTGTCGCCAACTATAGTATTGGGCGATTAGACCGCTGATGAAGGGTCCTACGAAAGGTGACTCGACAAAAGCCCAAGCCCATATGCCAATTGCGCGTGCGTGTTGGTGGAAGAAGAACCTGACCTAGTGTTAGCGACAATGAAGAAAGAATCCTAAGAGCGCGAAAAGACGCGGAGACTGGAAAGACACACATATCGTAAATGAACGACAACCCAATCACTTGAGGCGCTGCAGAGAATGTCGTCTGCAAGCAGCGCACGATAATGAATGAGATATGGTCCGTAACGAGAGTAGCAGCGAGTGTCATCCAGAAGGAAAGAAACATCGACCACCACAAAACCGGGAGTCGGCCATATCTCTGAACGAAGGGGACAGATAACAGACTACCAACGCCGATCATCTAGTCAATGGTTAATCATGCGTCACTTGGCTTCTACTTTCTGGAGCTTACGAAGACATTGCCAGACATTGAGCGGCCTGAGTCTTGGATGGAGATGTTCCAGTACACCGACTGTGGCACCACCAATGGTATGCCAAAACCGGCCTGCATATCAGGCATGGCTGCACAATAGGCTACGACAGCCAAGATGGCCCATTTTTTCCTGTTTGGCCAGTTCAATGTGTCTTCAGGGTCATCACTTGGTTGCGGGGCAAGAATTGTGCGACCATCTGCCGTCTTCTTGAAATTTGCCACATATTCGACAGAGGGCTTCTCGTCGTTGATTGTCAAGGCCAGGTCCTGTAGTTGAACGTTTAGAGCAGAACGCGATTATATGTGCGAGGACAGTTCAAGTGGCTAGGTAGGAATTTTACCTTGTTAGGTGAGCTTACGCCGACTATATTGGTTCCGTTAGATTCGAGGTCGGTCATGTCTGGATGGTTGGCCATGTTGTCCGAGCCACTGTAAAGTGATAATTCCGATGCTCCCGACCTCTAAAGGGCGGATCCATGACTTGTGGACCAAAGTGCAACACCACGGAATATATACTCAACAAATGTCATATCTGGGGAATTCTAGAGACTTTCATCCCGGTACACGACTGCGTGGAGATTCCCAGCCGCCCAAAGATACCAACTAGTCCTTCTCGGCCAGAAAGCACGAATCGATCAGATGTCTCGTATGGAAAGCCTCCACACGGATCGGAGGCGTCTGGGCCGCGCCTGCGGACATTCCGAGCCAACCGGTTCACGCCTCTGGCCCCACACTCGCGCTATGTGATTGTACTGCATTTGATAGATGTCGGTTGTCGAGCAACAATATTCCATCTTGGAGACTAAACCTGGATGTTCGCTTCAAAGAGGTCTCCCGTTGATCTGCCTTCTGACGCACGCACGATATACATCCATCTGGCAGAACTTCATCCTGGGCAAGATGTTTCGGAAGGATGCATAAATGAACTCGCAGCTTTTTGGGGGGATTAATGCAGATAGTAGTATACTGTTTGTTACGTAGTGGCTCAGAGCCCTCATAACGTTGGCATGGTAGCTCGTTTTGTTCTCTAACAAAGCAACCCACGGATAGGGTACAGGCCCGTCTCGCATTGACTCTGTCAATTAATTCTGAAATGTCACAGTCTTTGTCTTCAAAAACTCTTGTAGCCCAAACTCGCTTCCAAACCTGCCAAAGCCACTGTTCTTGACCCCTCCATGCGGCAGGGTCGGCTCGTCGTGAACAGTCATACCGTTGATATGGACAGCCCTAGGTGAGTGAGTCAGTGATGAGTGGATGGAGAGCTGTGAGCTTGGAAGAATTGACGAACCCGCTCTCAATTTTCTTGGCCAGTCGGAGGGCCTTGTGTAAGTTGCGTGTGAACACTGCAGCCGACAGGCCGTATTCAGTATCATTTGCAACAGCCAAGGCTTGCTCTTCATTATCGACCGTTACGATGATCACAACGGGCCCAAAACTCTCAGTATAGTATAGATCCATTTCCTTGGTGACATGTTTCAGGACCACTGGTTTTAATCTTGGTCCCTGAGCGAGCTTGGCACTAGCGGCGCTACCAATCAATGGTTCAGCACCACTCGATATTGCCTGCTGCACAAGGTCGTTGATTTTGTCAGCCGCTTTTTGGGAGACCATCAACTGTGTTCCGTCCCCTTGACCCAACAGGTTCTTGGTGGCAGACTCCAGTTCTCGGAGGAACGCATCAGCCACAGATGATTGGACAATAATCCGTTCACAGGACATGCAAATTTGTCCACCATGAAGGAACGCTCCTTGTGCACAGGCGATCGCGCCTTGCCGCAAGTCTGCATCTTCGAGTATGATTGTGCTTGCCTTTCCCCCGAGCTCCATCAGAACAGGCTTCAGATTTTCGCCTGCCACTTTGGCAATTGTCCGGCCAACCGTGGTGCTGCCGGTAAAGTTGATCTTCTTCACCGCTGGGTGCTGGATCAGGGCCCGTGTGATTTCCGCGGCATCTTCAGCACGATGATACAAAGCGTTAAGGCAACCCTGCGGAAGACCTGCCTCCTCGAATATTGACGCGATGGCGAACATGCAGTGCGGAGAAAGCTCTGAACCTTTGAGGACACACGTATTACCGGCCGCAAGTGCATATGCTACACTGCGAAACCCTAGGATATATGGGGCATTCCTATATGGTTAGTCTGTATGATATTGTGGATATCAGCTTGCGGGGTCTTTCTTACCATGGAGCAATGGCAAGAATAACACCCCAAGGCTCCTGGTACACTAACGCTGTCGTACCCTTGTCGGAGGTTGCAGGAATGAAGCCTCGTATCCCAGCAATTCGCCCTGCAATATCACGCAGCAGCTCCGCTGAAGTTCGGATATTGAACATGCACCAGACCAGATCTGCACCGGTCTCATCTTGCATATATTTGCAGTATTGAGATGCACGTTGCTCCAAGATATCAGCAGCTCTCATGAAGATAGTTCGTCGCTCACCAGGCTTGCTCTCGGACCAGCCGCGAAAAGACGCCTGAGCTGAAGCGACCGCAAGATTGGCATCGTTCACCGAAGCTCCCGATACTGTTGCTATAACTCCACCCGTCGCAGGATTGATTGTTTGGAATTGACAATCTGTGTAAACTCGCTTTCCAGCAATATGGAGTGGCACTTTGTCCATTTCATGGTTCATATCATCGCCAAGTCCGACCATGGCTCCAGTCAGTGTTCCGTATAGGGATAATCCGACCCTTTCAAAAAGGAGAAGCCGTTAGATATGGTTACCCATAATGTAGAAGGACCTAAATGGACTCGGGGAAACGACCGCAAAAATGACAACCATCCAGGTTCCCAGGCGCGGTCATTCCTCGCCAATCATTCAAGCTTTGCGGAACAGAACGTCTAAGTCATATTGGCCAGATATGCAAAGGCCCCCGAGATGGGCGGGTAAAGTCAAAATACTATGTACCTAGATAGGTGAAGTATAAAAGGAATACTTAAGAGTAAGGTTAGAAGGCCGATTAGTAACGTAGGATATAACAGCGTGAAAGTTCAACGAATGGGATAGTCAAGCAAAGGGGATAGGTCGAGAGCCTACGCTCTGAGCCTAAGTTAGTGAGGCTTCTTGGGAATCAGGTAGGTGAGACTTAACTTCTGTCCGCATGGTTGTCCAGAGCGGCTACTTAGATCGCTAAAGCAATGAATTCACCATCAATCCTCAGGTGCAGCACCTTCGGAGCCTCATTGGACTTATGAAGGCCTTGGCCTCAGAGGTGGCACCTATGAACGCACCTCGTGATGTTGTGTGGCGGTGCTTCCTATGGAGGAACGCTTCACCGGCTCATGGAAAAGAGAATAGAGAAAAAAAGACAGGAGGACAAGGAGCCTCACAAAGTTAATTCTCCAAACTAAACGTTTAATGCACTATGTGACCGACTCCCATCTCAACATTGTGATATCCATTCGTGATTAAATTCATTTCTTCATCCATCCATGGTAGTGTTTGACAGGTTTTCCGTCGGCTTCATCTACCCATGGTAATCATCGCTGGCTGCCCTTATCGCCTAGCTTGTTGCGGCGTGGACATACCCCTCTCAAACCAGTCCTCAGAAACTCCCAATCCCTATCATCAAAGGCCGGGTCGTCGGTGCCTGAAAGCGCGATTAAATGTCCAGCCAAACTCCCACACTGAGTGGTAACCTTCATGCCGGCCCATGACCCAGCTTGTCCACCCATTTTTGTTCCTTGCAGAATGGCGTCGCACGTCTGTACCGACATTTTGCCAGTGAAGTGCTTCAGGAGGTTGAATTCGGTGTCATCAAAGACTTCATGCTCGGTGCCGTGCATGCTGATGACCGAGCAGGCCAACTTGTGCTCTCAGATTTGTTTACTGGTATTTCCTGGTAGATACTGTAGTCAGCCAACTAGGGAGTCGTCAACAAACGCCATAGAATCCCTACAAGCCTCGGGTGTGTCGGACATGTCGAATAACTCTTTTCTTCGTAGATGTGTGGGATGAGATGCCTTCTGGGACAGGATGAACTAGAAGGATTTTGTCCGAGGTCGATGGTTGATTTATGATTTCCCATCAAAAGGCAGTCAAGGGTCTGAATCTGGGTCTACGCCGGGCTGGTGACCATAGAGACCGACCGACCTCTACGTACCAATCAAGGCATGTCAGCATTACCAGTACCAGGGCATGCCCGCCTTCAGTGGCAAAGAGCCAACGCCTACCTACGGCAGCTACTAGTGAACGGCTAGAATGCCGAATGAATTCATCATCAACGGCAAGCAGACCACAGTTTCTGAGGGTACTTCGCCCACTAACATTACATGGTAGATCACCATTTTTCACTGTTGTTATGGTTATTTATGGTACCGTAGCGGACTCGGCTCTCTTCAGTTTTCCAATGAATATATCGCCAACCGTGGACTGGACAATTACCTGTCCGCAAGCCATGCATATCTGGCCAACGTGGAGGAAAGCCCGTCGCGCACAGGCGATGCACTGTATCGCAGATGTGCACTCTCCATAATTCTAGATATTTGATAGAAAATGCTGTCACTGTCCAGTCCTATCCGTTCCAGGAAGCGGATCTTTTGTAAAAGGATCACGTTCCTGAAACGCTATAGTTGCACGAAGGGCAGGATGAGTCGACTCCCATACTGACCCCCGTAGTGCAAGATATGCCTACCTTTGTTAGCCGCCTGAAACCCTCCCCTAAGAGGTGGAAACTCTGCCAACGTCATCTGATGTCCAGCTATCCTGAATATCAGCTTTTCCCCAGCTTCAAATTGAATCGCCGCTGCCCAGATCCCAATTTCCACTTCAACAACAAGACCTGGTGGGATCTTGTCTTCGCGTGTATGATCATGGGCTGGCCAATGTGGCTTCGACAGTTTCTCGTCAATCGCACGATGACTGGCACGTAAAATGCCGGACGGGCCGATGTACTTGAGGGTATTCAAGTTCTCGACCTCATCTTCGGTCTTAAGTCCGAGCTCCGCCAGTGGAATATTAACATTGCGAAGAATCTTGCCGCTCTTATCAGCCTTGCGTATGATAACGAAGATATCCATATCATTATGGTCTGGGCAAGACATGAAAAGGATTGCTCTCGAAGGCCCAATCAACGTTTGTGTTTCACTGAAAGTGTACTCGAATTCGATATATCCTGGGTCATTATCGACCTGCTCAGCGAAGACATCAGATTGATACGAGACTTGACCGTTGTATACTGCTTCTTTAGTAGACTGGAGCTGCGACTTATGTGAAAGCCATAATGTTCTTTCTCGGGTGTCTGGAACTGGCCAGGTGGAAAAAGAATAATACTTGGTTGGGGGCTGAGCCAAAGAAGAAACATTAGTCTCATAGCAGGGTTCAGCTCTGTAATTCATACCTGATTATACCTAACAGCTGAGATACGCACTCTTGCTGTCTGTTCCCAGTCGTTCCGAATACCTCTTGTGTAAAAATCCAAGAATTTCTTGATATCTTTGATTGTTTCTGGTTGGTAAAGATCATGCCACTCTTGGGTAGGATGGAACCGGAGCCTGTAGACAGGAGCGTTAGTTGGCCTTCTGACGACTGTATAATAGTTAACACACTAGGTACGTACCATTTCCGATCATGGGGAATATCCTCAAAGCAGCGAGTGGAGCCCACGGTATGTAGACCAGTAGACATACTGGCGAGAACATAAGTTGGGACGTTGATGAGCTCGGGCCTCGCACGTTTGTCTTCCCAGTAGTCATTCATCAAGGGATATTTCTCCAGCATGGCGATGGGATCTTCCTCGAAGTTCTCGCCTGTTGTGAAAGAAATATTGCTTAGCGGATCTATATTCGTCTCCGTGAACCACAGAATACTCACCATAGACTGCTCGATCCCTCCACCAACGCCAAAACGGTAGATAGGGCACACCGCCTCGGCACAAGGACTCGCGATAGAGATCGGAACATCCCTCTAAGGGAAGAATACAACTCAAGTGTGGAGGTTTTTCTGCTGCGATAAACCATTGAGCCATGGCAAGCCAGGAGTTCCCCATCAAAGCAATATGCTTATTGCACCAGGGAAGGGTGGCCAAGTACTCGACTGCATCATGGCCGTCCCTACCCTCCGCTGTCCCAGTCCACCTATGACAGAAAACGTTAGCTGGATGAAGTCACCATATTGCAAAGCGTAGCCTTACCTCAAGTTACCTTGGGATTTGAAGACCCCTCTTGCATCAATATTGACGACTGCATAACCATGCGCGGTCCATTCGGCTGGATCTGGACCCTCAAAGTCCTCGAACCCAGAGGTCATTTGAAACGGAATACCGACCCGGCCAGGGACAATGTCTAGGCTAACAGGACCTGATGATGATTAGCCAACGATGGTATCTCCGTACAGTGGGATCGAGTTTTGTTACCAGTTCCCGACTTGCCATATGGGCTCCAAGCAACGATCGCAGGGACCTTCGAAACCCCGGCGGGTCGAAAGACATCAGCGCGAAGGATGATTCCGTCTCTCATCGGAATCTCCATATCTCTCTCCCAGATAGTCTCAACTGGGAATTTACGGCGAGACGTGTCTTTTTGGTAGCCTTTAGATAAGGCTGTGATGGAAGGGTTGAAACCATTATAGTTCGACCCTGGATTATCTATGCCCGAGATTTTAGTCTGAAGAACGTTTATTCCACTGACCACGAACTTCTCATCATCTGAAACCATTTCTGATCTCAAGTTTCGAGGTCCGAAGTCCACCTGCTAAAGAGTTGAAGATTGGAAGAAAAGAACATTCACCCTGATTTTGTAGCCTGGGCCCTTCAGAGTCCATCTCAATTCCAAGAGTTTTATGGGGAAAAGTTCCAGAAGTTGGAGTCTCCGCGTACGAAGAAACAGTGCGGGGTACGCTCAAAGGATACGGTACGCAGGGTACATCACCCCACGATCACTGTGAAGTGGGCCGAGGTCCTGGTCAAAGCAGTTCGGAACTTCCGCGGACCAATAACGTCTAAGTAAGTCCGGCTAAAGCATGTGTAGCCGCACATGAAGAATCCATCCCCCTTGAGGACCTGACCTAGCTCATCATACTCCAGATTGTGTCTAACAACGTTCTCTGATATTTACATGCACCTATAGCACCGTTTCAGATGGATAGGCAAAGCCGCCCACGAGCTGGAATACAAGGGGAAGACCATAATAGTAAAATAAAGCCCCAAATCCCCTGCTTATTGCGATGAGAACGAGAACAGCCCTGTTATCTTCCTATGATCGTGTTTAGACGCTACTAATCCTCTTCCCATCAGACTCACGGATGGAAATCTCTACCAACAATCCCGTCTGAACCACAAAGAATCGAGTTTTGCTTTTGAGGGCGAGATCCGGAAAGATTAAGTTGAACCTGAACTTCCTGAAGAGTTGTAGGATAATCTTGTTCATCTCGACAAGTGCAAGATTTCTTCCAATGCACATGTGACTCCCTCCACCGAACTAGACCGTGTACCTCGTTAGCAAAGATAGTAGCCAATAGATCTGGACAGACTGACGTGATATAAATGCCTCTCCATACACTTGCTATTGGCTTCTAGCCATCGTTCAGGTCGAAAGATATTAGCATCCTCACCAAAGACTTGTTTGTCTTCATGCACGACCCAGGCATTTACGCCGACCCGGGTCCCACCAGGGTAAAACTGCCCATCAATTTGAGCACCCCCATCGGGAACATGGCGTGTCATACTGATCCCAACACCAGGACGCATCCGCATAGCCTCCTTCAGTACAGCCTGGAAATATGGCATGGAAATGGCTTCGGAATACTGAACCGGGTCTGACAGTAATCCAGCAGCGATCTTATCGTTGATCTCCTCCAGGAGCTTTGCATATGTTGCTGGGGATTGCAAGACGTGGTAGAATGTGGATTGCATAGTTGAAGCAGTCGAGTCAGAGCCGGCAAATACAGCTCCGTGTGCAATACTGAAAACATCCATTTCCGTGAACCTGCCGGGATGCTGTTCCGCGGCTGAGAAAAGACGACTAAGTAGGTCCTTCCTTGTAAGTTCCCCATTTTCCATCGCCTTTCGCCGTTGTATTTCACCCATGGCTATTTTCGTGATCAAGGACCCTTTAGGCTTTGAGATCAGGTTGACCAGGGGGTTGCCCAGCGCAAGTTTGTGGTATTCCGGAATCTGTCCAATGATGGAAAAATACGAGAGAGTGTCTTCCACCCCGTGAATGGTGTCTCCGACATCTGCTCCAGCTTTCAAGAAGCCAAATTGCTGAGAAAAGGCTACTTCACCCAGGACATCGAATGCATAGAAATGCAACCACTTTCCGAGATCACATGGCCTCTTCTCCCTCGCGATAAACTCTTCTTCAAGTCGTTTTATCAAAATTTTGCTGGTAGAATCAATTATCGGCTCCATTTCTAGCATTGAGGCCATGCTGTAAGCAGTCGAAGCTATCCTCTTCTTAGTTGCGTGGACTGCTTCATTCACCTCCGTAAACAAATCTGGGTTTCCGGGTGGCGGAAAGACGCTGTAGAAGTCGGTTTTATGATAACCTTTGCCAACTGTAAAAATATCTCGTGCTGCGGCGGGGGTTGAAAATGATAATTCGTTTGGTGCGATACGAACTACAGGTCCATATTTTCGGTGAAGATGCCTCTGTGTTGTTTCCATAGTGCCGCGCCATAGTTCTTTGACCTTCCAGCCTCGAGTTACCGATGCGAGAAAAGGGCCTGGTACACGCCGCAACGGAGATGCATATCGTCGTCGAAAGAGATTAAGGACAACAAGAACTTTCAATATTATTAAGAAAAGAACAAGGTGACTGTATATCGCTCTTACGGCTTGCCAGACCGCGGATAATGCCAACGAGTTGCTGCTCTTACCCCGATCAGACATCTGAGCCAGACGGTCTCGGAAGTTTCTCGATCAATAATGCAGGATAAATAGAACAGTAGAGCACCTTCTCTGTATCAAGATCACTGAAGAAATTTGTGTTTCATCCAAAAAGTACCAAGATCTGCCTGGAGTGTAAAACGTTTTCTGGACCATCGCCAACATACCTCGATCTAGAAGACTACACAGTGAGCAGCTGAATATTACGATTACACGGAATGCTCCCAGGCAAATCATTCTTTGTTTTCGCTGATGGGAATGACCACCGTGGGGGCTGTAGATGAGATTTGCTGCCATGCTGCCATTTCGACAAGGGATGTTCGAGTAGTCTCCCCCCTTTGGGCATGCCGCACCTTCGACATTTATCGACCCATACAATTCATTGGTTCGCGGTCGTCCCAGATCACTTAAAGTGGGTCACATCATTAGCTCGTGTTGCACCACCTCTGTCTCTCTGAGATTGCTCGGACTTTGTTCATTATTGTTTCATGTACTAAATGTATTACATGTGGGACTTGCTTAATTCCCCAGACTAGGAGAGGATTTAAAGCCTCACTACCCCAGGTTGCGCTCCACGTACATAGGTCTTTTCGCTTCCTCGATTCCTTTTTTCAGATACTTAGGTAGTCTTATTTGCCAAACTTCTTGTATTTGCAATGGCACGAGAAGACAGGATGTCCAGTGCTCACGTCGAGACTTCATCTGGTCTTGAAGCGAATGCCCACTTTCATACCAAAACTTTCATCTTGTTGCTCGTAAGTCCAAAATCGGCACGTTAGCTGGCCATCGGTTCGAAGAACGTATGTCTCTTAACTTTCGCAGGCTGTCAATTGTGTCTATCTTGCGCAGACATTCAACCTCGTGGCTTCCGGCTCACTCGGTCTGAGCATCACGGCGGCTGTTGGAGGTCGCTCCAGTATGGTGTGGCTCACCTCAGTGCTGGGAATTATGACTGTGGTCCTCAGTCCTCCAGTCAGCCAGGCAGCCGATTATTGGGGCAGAAAGTGGTTTCTTGTTGGCCTAACTATCATGGGCTGTGTGGGATCTATCGTGGTTTCACGAGCTGACTCGATTGGGATGGTCATTGCTGGTCTGGCTGTGAGCGGTTTCTCATATGGTTGTCAGCCACTTATCCATGCGGTTATTTCCGAGGTCCTCCCTCGCAAATATCGCTCCTATGCTCAAGCGACGGCCAACATGTCCATAGCACTTGGTGCTATTTGCGCCTTGCTTGTCGGCGGCGCGCTGATCCAGAACCCTACCGCAGAAGGGTTTCGGACCTACTGGTACATCACTGCCGGCGTCTATGCCGCCACCGCCTTAGGCGTCGGTCTCCTTTATAATCCACCGCCGCGCGAGCTTCAGATGAATTTGACCCTTGGGCAAAAAGTACGTCGACTTGACTGGATCGGTTTCGCACTCCTTGCGATCGGGCTTGTACTTTTTTGTTTGGGTTTGTCCTGGGCACAAAATCCATACCCATGGAAATCCTTCAACGTCCTTGCCACGTTCCTGGTTGGCCTCGTCTTCACAGCAGGGTTGATCATATATGAATGGCGATTTAGGGGTGATGGTATGTTTCACCATGGTCTGTTTCGTGATAGGAACTTTCCTATAGCCATGATCTGCATTTTCTGCGAAGGAATTACCTTCTACTGTGCCAACAACTATTTCGCATTCGAAGTTAGCTTGTTTTACACGACCAATCCGTTGTCTGTCGGGCTCCATTACAGTATCACCTTCTTCGCATTTCTAAGCTCTGCCCTTGCCGCTGGTGTGTACTGCTGGAAGACAAAATCTCTTCGCCTTCCGACATGCTTTGCCTTTGGACTGATCCTCGTCTTCAATATTCTGGTGGCAACAGCCAACAAGAATACAGCTGTGAGAAACATCTGGGCTTATCCATTGTTTCTAGGTGCCGGTCTCGGCATAGCTCTGACGGCTTTGATGGTGGCAGCGCAGTTCTCGACGCCAGCCGAACACATTGCCATTGCGTCTGGTCTGATGATCTCGGTCCGCAGCCTAGGTGGCACTATAGGTCTAGCCATTTACAATGCTATATTCAACGATTCGCTGTCCAGAAACTTGGCATCCAAAATCGCAGCGGCTACCTTACCTCTCGGTCTCCCTGACACATCCCTTGGGCCGTTCATCGGCGCGCTCGCAGCCAACAACATCACGGCGCTTGGTGAAATCACACGAGGAAACACTACTATCATTGGAGCAGGGGCCAGTGCATTGCTAGATGCATATGCGGTCGCATTCCGCAACGTATGGATCGCGGCAGGAGCCTTTGCTGCCCTGGCAGTTCTTGGTAGGCATCTTCCGTCCCTTCAGTGCTGGATGGCTAACGCTGGAACTAAATGATATAGTGTCGATATTCATGACCGATCCACGTGCCGAGTTTAACGCTCGTATTGATGCGCCCGTCGAAGTTGAAGCTAAAGTGTATACGGAGGACAATGTCTCAATTGTTAAACCAGCACCTCACTTTCATAGTATACTAAGCAATATAAACGTCTAGAAACATTCCATACTAAGGGGATGATAATTCAAACTAATAATGCGGTTTATACACACCGCGAGTAGCCTAATACGTACAAGTAGGACCGAAAACGGAAAGCCTTTTTCTATTATACTAGAAGCCTCTTCTAATTCAATACCTCTTAGCTAAAAGCTGTCTTACTTATATATTATGCCCTACGCCTTCGCGTTAGGGATAGAGGATCTCGACGAGTTATATCGCTAATAATACTAACTTTATAATCTAGAAAATATAGAGTATATTACACTAAAATATCCCGTATAACCCCTATTAACTATATAGTTCGAGATATATTTTCTAGAGTTTATTAGACCTAGATATATATGCGGTCGTATTCCGTAACGTATGGATTCAATAAACGATAACGTTAATCAGGAACTGATGGGATTTTTGCTAGCTATATAAGTATTAGGATTAATTATAGAGTAGTATAAACGAAACCTTCCCCTAGACCGACTGAATTTTTAAAGCATTACTTAAGCTAAATAATTTAAGTACGATAAGTTACTTATGAGAGTGGATTATCGATATTATCTACTATACCGTTCGATGTCCGACGATGACTAAGTCTTGAGTTACTATTAGTTTAGGGTATCACTTCTTTATTAGCTTATTACTTCACGACGTAGGTACTACGTTATTAGAGAGGAATTCTCCTCCTTAATCTTCAGTAGCGCCGGTATATTTAAACAGTTTCGCCGGATTAGCCCTCACTATATCTCTTGTCGAAGCGTCGATAATTGAATTGACTATAATGTCATGATCCACCAAGATTGACAAGCACCACCATACTAGAGTCTTGCATTCCAATCCGAATGATTGTACTCTAAACCTTCGTCTCATTTGGCAATATTCTTCCCAGGCTTGGAAGTGCATCTTGCCAATTTCGCGATCGCCTGAGCAGTACTCAGAAAGTGCTACGAAAAGAAAAGTTACCACATCGTCATCCGTCGACTCTCCGTAGTTAGCTAAAGCAGATATTCTTGACCTTGTTTGTGCAAGAACTCTATTTTGACGTGCGGCAAAATAGTACTCGTCAGTGTATACTGTATCTTGTTCGCATAAGTGCATACGTTGTCGATAGTGGTATGCACTCTGGAGCAACACCATTGTCTCAAAACCCCACGAGGTTGAAATTGCGAACGGCAAGAGGAGTTTCGAAACTACGTCGTGTTGCGTTTCAATGTCCGGGTACTTGTCCAAGCCAAGCAAAATTCGCGAATTTGCAGCAAAATATCGAATTAGATGGGCATCTGAAGGTCTCAATCGGACACGAATTTGCTGCACGGACTTTGCTAGAAGTAAAAGTGCAGTCTTTGAGCGCATACAGATGGTTTCCTGCACCGATTCTGAAGGCAGCATGCTTGTTTGTTGCATATCTCTTCGCTTTGGCGTATCTGAAAACTGAATGCCAGATCCAGGATTGCCTTGAAAGCAGACACTTTGTGTCTTGATGTCGGGGGCAGATTGGCTACCTCCACGCTCAAAATTAACCCCGTCCGTCTTTGATAAACTACCACCGTGTTCGTTGGGCCCGGCTGCGCAAGGGAGTTCTAGCTTGTTGAGCCCGATGAGCACCTCCTGACGAGCCACGTTGACTGAGCCTGTGTTTGGAGAACAACACTGAGAACCCTTAACTAGAGCCGTACTAGTCCAATGTTCGGACCCGATGCCTCTAGACTGTGTCGAGGTGGTCGGAGTGGGCTCAGTGACGCTCACTCTAATGCCCAAATTCGAAGCTTTTCGTCGTCGTGCCAAATTGCTTGATTGCACTTGCTTTGCAGTGGACGTTATTTTAGGACGCATCCACCGAAGCGGCAATGATTGCTTCCTTGAGTTCCATTTTAGATTGGCCATCTTCTTGGATCTTACCCGATTCCTCATTAAATGTGCTCTTGCTCTGTCGGTTGTGCCACTTCCTGCTATATTATATGCCACAAACGTGAACGCCCTCTTTTCTGCTATATGCATTTCTGTTGCCATCCTATTTTTATTGCCGAAAGTAGTTGTGGTTATACAAAATTTAGTGTTTATTCTGACGATTTGTGGATAAATCGGATTTCAGCAGTGCACCGACATAATAAACAGCGAACTCCTGAGACTTGTACTATCTTGACAATCAGTTGGGACAACCCGCGGTATAAGCTACACCCTATGACTCCAGCTGAGCCTCCTTCTTCAAGTACTGGCGCAATTACAACGTGGATTAACTCATTCCGCAATCAAACTATGAGTCAGTTGGACATGACTGCCAATATTAGTGGCAAAAACCTAAAGAGCGACCGGAATTCCTCGGCTATTATAGCTATAGAGAGTCTAGGGGTAGGATAGAGTCCCATTATATATAAGCTTGCAGGAAACTGGATTATATCATATATCCTTAACTTTGCGCTTGCCGATTTTCGCAGGAGTCTCAATGTTAGGAAACACTTTCAAAACGGCTTTATACCGGCAAATCCTAGATCCGTTAAATTCAGCAATTGCGTATCAGAGAATCAACATACAATCGGTAGTTGGCAAAGACAAACACTTAGCCTATCTAAGGGTTGTCAACCCGTCGTGTGGCACTGACTGTTCACGGCAGCGCAAGTATGCTTTTTAGAGGCACACTCTGCAGTTGAAGACACCCTATCCCAGTACTCCCGGGAATGATCGTTGGATGATATAACTGACTTGATTGCTAATCAAAGTAAAGGACATTGGTTCATCTAGGTGATGTCAACGTTTTGGCGAAAACCGGGACCATTTCCGACACTTGCATCTCCTCTCAGACAAATCGCAGAGTTGCTTTTATCCACTTGAAGTGCCTGGCCAGTGTACACTATTCGTAAAGTCATGACGTGAAAGAAGCGGCATGGCACGCGAGTAGTCTACGCTTTAGCAAGGACTTCAACAGCAACCTATAACGTATCCCCGTGGTTGAATCGATCCTAAGGTAATGCATTTATAATTGCAGATACAGACAACTTGTTGGAGGACTGAGTGGTATGTAAAGGTTAGTTCCCGTCCCTTCTTTCGCTCGCTGGCTCGTGCTAATAACCTATGAACTACCAGTGGCAGCTCAGCATGTCTCGGAATTGAAACACTGATGACTCCGTATTGGATGATGCACTCGTTGAGCCTCTAACTCATTTGTATAGCTCGGGATACTTTGCTTTGATAATGTCCACTCCCTTCTCAGCCACCATGTAAACATCGTTCTGGATCCTACAATCTGGGATTACGGGAAAAATCGAAGCGTCGATGACACGAAGATTGCTCACACCATAGACTTGCAGTTTAGGGTCCACAACACCCTGCTTAATATCCTTGCCCAGGCGGCATGTACCGCAAGGGTGGTACCCAGTCTGAGCGCGCTCGAGGATTTGGCGTATCATCGCCTCATCCGAATTTCGCGGCATCGGCCATGGATAATCACCCTCAATGATATCCTTCATACCATCACCATTCATAAGAATGTCGTCGATCATACGCACCCCTTCACGAAGAGCGATAAGGTCAAGCTCATGCGAGAAGAAGTTGAGATTGATAAATGGCTGGTCATGTGGATCGGTCGAATTGAGTTTGACCTCGCCATTGCGGGATAATGGTCTCATGAGGTCCACGATAACAGTAAGGTAGTCACCTTGCGCAGGGGCTGGGAAGTGCCACTGGAAAGAGTCACTAAACATGGGCTGTACTAATTTAGCTCATACTCACGCCTGGTTAGGGACGATGTACTTACAACAAAGTCAACCTCGAAATGGGGCTGACCAGAAGGTCCGAACGGGTCAATGCCACCATTTTTGGCCCTATATTCCCGATATTCTTTCGACTTTTCAAACCATTCGTCGGCCCTCGGAAAGGCTACCAATTCAAGGAGACCACTGCTATAAAGACCTGTCTTATTCTTCCGATAGGCAGAAACAGCGCCAGACTTCTGAGGACCTGCACGGAGTAGATGGCTGTCAAGCCCATAGCCGTCTTTTATCTTAAAGACATGGGCCATGATGGGGTGATCCAGTAGATTTTGACCGACATGCTGAGAATCGACAAGAACTTTGACACCCTTAGCTTCCAGATCAATCTTCGGCCCAATGCCAGATAACATAAGCAGTTTAGCGGATTCGTAAACACCCTGGGACACAATAACCTCGAACGTGGCGCGAAATGTAAACTCTTGATGGTTGGAGTCTATGACTGTAACACCGATAGCTTTATCTGCCTCAAAAACAATCTTCTTTGAGATTGTGGAGGAAACAATTGTCACATTGTCTTTTCCTTCAATGAAAATAGATGCGTTCGACCGGATACCTTTGTATATGGTGTTGATACATGGGAATAGGCCCTTTTGAACACCGTTGTAGACGTCCATCGTCAGTTCTTGACCTTTGCTGACCCAAGCTCTTTGAAGAGCATCTCGAAATGGTTTGACCTCAGGAATCAAATCTGAATGCGAGATATGTAATGGGCCGCCTTGGTTTCCGATATTCGCAAGATCAGCTGGATAAAGGTTTTCGTCGTCGTGGTATGTCGCCGACTTGTTGAAGTAGTCTTTTGTGTTGGCCCAATTCCATTCCTCTGTGCCATACTCCGCCCAATCATCGAATGTCGCTGCACTGCCCCGGACCCAAGTATAGTAGTTTTCCGCGCTCGAACCGCCTAGTATCTTACCACGAGGGTTAGGTTGCTCAATTCTGGTGTATTCCGGCCGCTCGATCATAGTGGTTTTGTACTTCCAGTCCCACTGACTACCTCGCAATTCAAATGCGCGTGCTGGGGTAGTAATTTCCGGGATCTCGGCCGTATTACTTATTGACTTAGTTTCCGAAGCTTGTAAGAATAAAGGGCTCGGCAACATACTTCTGACCAGCCTCGATCACGAGCACTGAGACTTTGGGATTCTCCGCTAATCGACAAGCAACAACGCAACCAGCAGTCCCTCCACCGACCACAATAAAATCGAAGGTTTGAGGGGCATCTTTCGCCGCAGTAGCAGG